AGCCCAAAAAACCCAAGCAAGCCTCTTGGAATAAGAATATTTGCAATATTTTGTTTTTCCAGCAGAAATACTTACTGAATAACATACCTAAGAGGTAACTACCCGGCCCCGGTGTGAGTGCCGTGCTGGCTAGAGGAGCATCAGGGGGGTTTGGAGGGGCGTGCAAGGGGTAGAAGGTAAGGCAGAGCTGAGGGAGCACGGAGCTCGTGGTGGTGAGGGTGAGCTGACCTGCTTTGCACATAAGCGTGCACAGATGTGGTTGGGCACGTGCCCGTCTGGCATGGAGACTGCAGGACTATGTCTGAGCCTGTCCCAGCCTCCCAGCCTGCAATGGTGAACTAGTCTTATTTTGGGCTAAGAGAGGGAGACTTTGGGGCGAGACAAGAGACAGGACAGCATGATCAAACTGCAGTCACTTCTAGCAGTGACCTCTCTGCCCTCTCTTCCCATGGCAGGAGGATCAAAGAGCCAGGGGGGAAGAGGGCATGGGGGGAGCTGACCCCACTGGAGACTCAACAGGCTTTGGTGGAGCATGTGAGAGCCATGGGCTGCTGGACCCAGGGCCAGAGAGGGGATACAGCCCCTCCCCACACACACTGCCTCTCCCGACCCCCGGCTCTCACTTCTGGTCCGTGATGATGTAGCCATACTCGTCAGCCGGCCGCATGCCCTGCTGCTCCCCAGCGTCACTTGCCGCTGTGTAGCTCTTCTTCGCCACTGTGACTAGCTTCCCAGGGCTGAGCATGTCCCCACCGTGCCCCTGCTGCGGCTTTGCCTGAGGGGCTGGTGTGTGTCCTGCCCTGACCCCCAGCCCATCTGCTGGGGAGCTGCTGGCTGGGATTTTGGGGGGAGGCACTGTGGAGGAAGGGGGCTCCGGCTCCTCTCCATGCTGCATGTCCCCCTCTGTCACCTGGAGGGAGGGGAAGGGAGGAGCTGTGACCCCTGAGGAGCCCCGGGGGGCTGCATCCCCCTCCCTGCACACACAGACCTCCCACCTGCTGCATAGCACCACCTCCAGCATCTCCCGGATGCAAACTTACCCTCTTTGCTGCAGGTACCTCGGGGCCAGAGGCACCTGGGAAGGAGAGAGACAGAATTCACACAGGATCTGCTCCGAGAGGCAGCTCCAAGGAGAGGCAAAACCCCTCGACCCCAAAACACGTTGTGCCGAGGCTGAAGGTTGCGAGCTCCCTGCCTGCCCTGTCCCTTGTGCCTCCACTCACCAGGGCCCTGGAGCAGCTGAAGGAAGGTGGAGAGGCTGCTCAGCTGCTGGGGACTCAGCTCTGGCAGCCCCAGGCCATAGCTGGCCAGAACAGATCCCAGTCTCTTCAGGGCAGCATCTGCAAGAGGACACAGCATCAGGTCAAGCCCTGCATCTGCACAGGGACCACAGGCTCGGGAAGCAGCAACTGGGACAGGTCTCTGGTGGGGTCTGGGTGGTCTATGCTGTTGTGGTCTATGCTGCCCACAAACCCAGTCCAGGGGCCGGCAGGCACAAAACCAAGAAGGAAAGAGAGCCTGAACCACGAGGAACGTGACTGTGGGGACAGGATGGGGATGAGGGCTGGTGCCTGGCTGGAGGACATGGTACCTGTCTGTACAGGGGCTGGCTGGGCAGCCAGGGCCGACGGCTGCTCTCTTTCCATGTCCCTGAAATCACTGGGGAGCCGCAAGCTGTGCTGGAGCCTCATGCTGGAAGGGTGAGCAGGGTCCGGGTGGCGAGATTTCTCTCTGGGCAGGGATAGCATACCCAAGTCCTGGAAGAGATGCCCCCCGTCCGTTCCTGGCTGCCCACCATAGGAGGGCACAGGGCCAGCCCCAAAAAGGGCCTGGGCAGGGACCCGGCCCAGCAGCGCAGCGGTCTCAGGGCTCTGTCTGGCTGAGCTGCCGGGGAGCTGGTGAGTGCCGTCCTGGTAGCCAAACTGCAACCGAAACACAGAACTGCCCTGTCTTTGGGTCGAATCCCCCAGGGTCTCAGCCACCCTATTCAAATGTGTCCCCAGGGGCTGGGGGCACCAGAGACACCGCCAACCCCGGGAGACCAAGGGTGCTGGGCCTGCAGCAGCTCCTGCCCATCTGTACCACTCTCACTGCACCTGGCTGGGAGAGAGGCTCCCCCCCATCTCTTACTTACCTTGTGGTAGGAGTAGGGGTGCAGCAGGGCCTCCTCGTAGCCCAGCTGGGGTGATGAGGGCAGTAGGAGGTGCTCCAGGTACCGCTGCACCACGGCGGAGGGCAGCAGTGGTGGGGGCTGCCCCAGATGCTGAGCCGCTGGCAGGCCGGCGTCTGAGGGGTGCAGGGCTCTCCTAGGGGAGCCACGGAGAGGCAGGAACCTCAGAGGCAAACAGCACCAGGGTGACCCACCTGGTTATGGGGCCACTCCTCCCCATCCAGCTCTGGGGCAGCAGGATGGGATCCTGGCCCAAGAGTAGGGCCAAAAGGGAGGCCTCCCCCCCATCCCCAGTTGGGAGTTGAAACCCACCATGCCCTGCTTAGCAGGAAGGGGCTGTTGGTGAGGGACCCAGTGGTGGCACCACACAACATCCTCAGCCCAGCTGTGGGGAGGATCCTGGCTGGCTCTGTTCTCCAGGCTGAGGGATGGAGCAGTCCTACCTGTCCCTGGCCACAGGCTCCAGCGAGGGCGGTGGGCGGAGGCGGGGGATACGCTCCATCTCCTGAGAGATCACATACTGTGTGATGCCATCCTGCCATGACAGCCCTGACACAAGAGGGACCTGTTAGATACGGAGGGGACCTAGGTACCATGGAGAGAGTGCACAGGAGGCTACTCTGGTATTTGGTTACCCCAGTCCTGTGCCACTAGCCAGGACTTGTCCTGACCCTATCACACTCCTCCCAGGATCAGTTGGATCCACCTTCATCCCGTCCCAGCCTTGCCTCTGGGGCCAGCAGGACACCAAAGGCCCTGCTTCTACTAGTGCCACTAGGCAGTGCTGCCTGACACCCTCTCCCCATGGGACCACAGTGACACTCCCCCACCCCGTGCACCCCCCTTCACCTTGTGCCATGAGATGCCGCAGGACATCCTGCAGGCGCTGCAGCACGGGCGAGGTGACCTGGAAGTAGGGTCTGTCCTGCACGGAGCCCACCTGGCACTGCCCAAACAGCCCATCTGCAAGAGAGCAGAGGCAGTAGGGCAGGCACAGCACTCCTGGACAAACACCAGAGGAACACCCTAGAGGGGCCTGGGGTCTCTGGGCCCAGCCCCACCTCTCTCCTGACATA